TTATTGCTGTATCATTTTAAGTTTTTATTATGATTAATCAATTTTCATATGCTTTATTATAATTAAAAGCAGGCACGGCACCATAATAATTTGAAAAATGTAATTTGACTATTATAGAAAATGTGTCATTTCATTGTGAGAAGTTATTAGAATTTAGTGATGCACAAGTGATATTCAAATTTTTTATTATAAAAATGTTTAATTTCTATACCTGTAAACAGGAGATGCTGTTTCACCAGAAGAAAAAGCTCCATTTTCAGTCTTTGATTTTAAAGTAGTGAAAGAAGAATGTGATGAAGTACCAAAGGAAACTGGGGTAAATGTGTAGATCAGAAAATTTTATCATTGTCTTCATAGTTACTTGCAGATACTTTTAAAAAGAACAACTTGTTTAATGCACTATACTCTTTAATTTATATCACTAATTTGATGCAGGTATAGCTGGGTTATTGACTCGTATAATCAATATAATCGCTTATGAGTGTTAATTACATCAATTAACCCTTTCCACATGGGTCAAAGGCCATGTCCCATTTGTTGAACTACTATTTTATGAATTTATGTCAATAAGTTTGGTATCAAATTGTAGATTATATTACAACTTTTAGTGTTATACATCATTTAATTTCTTAGTTTAAAAGTAAATATTAAAAAAACACCTCGAAACATCGATTTTTGTGTGTCACGTGGTATTTTGAATGCAACACTAGTTCAAATTACATATTGTGATGTCAAAATACAAAGCCTATAGTTTCATACAAATTAGGAACTCAAGTTACAACTATTAACAAGCTAGAATATAGAATAAGAACCTCTTTTCTGTTTGCTGAGATATTGCTCATGTACTGAATCAAACACAGTGGCCCTGCTCACCTCTTTCCATTTTTGGAAACACTCTCTGTCTATAACATGTGACTAACCAATCGAAAGCTCAGAATGTCCCCTAGTAGCTTTCTCAGCCTTTTTTAAGTATTACGACATCATCTCTTTCTTTCTTTACAAATTGTCAAGCTGGTAAGGTAAGTTTTTAGTCTGCTCGAAATTTGATATTTTTTTAAACCCAAATACAGCTTAATTGCTAAGCTTGATAAATTATTGTGGAATTCTATGGTATCAGTATAATAATTTATGATTTTATGGTTATTTCAAATGTATATATATAAGACCTAAAAAAAATTATTTCATTTCACATCCTCCATGTGCAAAATTTTGTAAAGCTTAGCAACCTAAGACAAGCAGCAAACAAGTACAAAGGTCGTAACTAGAATAGATAATTGTTTGGTTTACTTTTTTATTTAATGTTCTATGTTTTAATAAAAATAAATTTAAGAACTTATTTGTAAATAGTAATAATGTATATACATATGTATAATAATTGAAATGTGACTGTATTTACAAAATACTAGTCCACTAAAACACAGCCAAGACAGATCACTTTTTAAAGACTAAAGGTCAGTTTTATATTATTGGATATGGTAACATGAGTGCACGTGAGCTGCATCATTGTAACTTTGGTATTGTTAGCCAGGCACAGCTGAAAGGTCAATATAATAAAAATAATAAATAAATAAATATATATATATATATATATTGGTGTACTTTGGTGAAAGATTTTCTTGTAGGCAGATTTTGTTAAACAAGACCGATGTCTGTAGGTTTACTTTCTTCTTAGAATTCTTCTCGAGAAGTCGATAAGCCGTCTTAACGTTGTTAGAAGAACGGGTAAAAGTTGTAGATCAAATGGAGCCATCAAAGAACACTGTGCCCGCATCCACAACCAAATACTCACACATCAGGACCTAGTACAAAACACCAAAGTAAACCGCCGATTTAATGACTTCACAACTCTTCAAATACACGAAGC